GGTTAACTTACAATCGTTTTTTATTTAAAACATCTTTAAAAGTGTTGATCATTTCCAAGTAAGAAGTTGGCGTTACATAAGTTCTACGTTGTAATTTAGCATTGAACTCTACTGAAAGATTTATAGTTGTCGTATGAAATTTTTGGCACATTTTAATACTAACATTGCGTTCGTGATCTGTTAGTTCAACGTCACTTAAAAAATTTTTAGCTACAGCTATTAACGCATCCGATGGCCAGGTCTAAGGTAAAGTAAATAAATAAATAATTTTAATTCATATAGGTACATATTACGTATATTTAATATATAAATCAAAACATTTTCAAAGGAACATAGTTTTAGTATCCATGACGTAGGTGTATAAACGCGTAACTTTGTTATTTACCTGAAACCAGTCAATAGTACAACATTGTACTAGTGATGGAAATTGTCTTATCCTTGTTCTAAGGCCATTTCCAATTGGACTAAATGCCAACGACACATGCAGTTGATCTCTTACCGTTTGAATAAATAAATTAAATAATTCGGTTAAACTACCATCAGTCTAATTAAACGTAGAATTTTCATTATAAATTCATTATTTAATACCTAATAATTGTTAATTACTTGTAAAGTTTTGTCTCGTTGCTTATCTAGTTCACGCATTTTATCACAGATCTCTAGTTTTTCGTCCATCACMAATAGATTAGGTACTTCTCCAGAATTTAGTAAATTGTTTATATCTTCAACCATTCCTTCATTTTTTATCTATATCAAAATAGYTTAAAACATATATATCCGTATTATGTTTTATTATTATTTATTTACTTCTGAATCCGTAAACAAGAATATAACATTTTGATTAAAYGCAAGAGTAGCTTGTCTAAATATGTGTTTTAAATCCTCATGCCATTCATTTACTCCATATAAGCGAGTCAATTTTATCTAAGAAACAATTATACGATATTTCAACAAAAAAGAAGCTCTTATTTTTTTTTTCAATACCTGAAATAGTTCATATTGTGAAATATGTGCAGCTAGTCTTGTTAATGACTGGCGACCCGATCCTCCTAAACCAATAAGTAAAGCATGCCCTCGTGGCTGGTTCATGATACGACAAATCCGGGATAAATGTTCGAGAGCGAATCTAAAAAGCACTAAATGCATAGGCTTTTTGCTTATTTGATTGAATTCACTGAGAAATTCTTCAACTGTCAACCGGAGACTGTTTAAATCACGAATTTCCTTATAATTTTTATCTTGAGAATGTGGATTAGAGAAATCACAATAAATTAATTGGCGCAGTTCATTTTGAGTTATCTAATTATTTATAAAAAAAAAWTATTGTTTAGTCTGTCAATTGAAAATAAAAATAAAAGTTTATTGATTAATATTTTACTATTTTGCTTTCCGTCGTGATAAGATGAATAAACATTTGATTTAGGTCTTCRTCCAGAAATTCTTTACAGACAAAACGTAAATTTTCGAAAAACCACGCACGGTCAGATTCATCTACTAAACGGTCATAGTATACTCTAAGTATTTCATGTACCCAAAGACGTTTCATGGAGATCACATCGGTTATAGTTTCAGGAACAGAAAACATAATGCCCTACATGAACATTAMATTGAAAATAATAACGTTTAATACCTTTTGATTGAAATACATTCATCCTTACATCGATTATTCACATATAAATATTATACATTCACAGGATTATAAAGTAGGATGATAATTTTAACTTATGTAGTATTTATTCAATACATTTGCTTGAGTTATTTAAATATCATGATTTAATCTTTAATTTACTACTATAATTAATTATATATTTAATATTATTTTTAAATTGTGTTTAGACAATATTTACCTGTATAACTTTAGAAAAATCTCTTAAATTGAATAAGTAATGCGATTTATCTGGAGTTGGCATCAAATATCCTATGCTCTTTTTATGTATTTCTAATGTTGAATTTATTAACTGATCAACAGATGAATCAAATTTTTTACCAAAACCTCTATACGATAGTTATAAATTAGTTATGAAAATAATTAAAATGTATTTTTATTTTTCATGTACTGAACTTGTTTTCTAAATGCCAGAATAAAATTTTACTAAAAATTGTAACCATTGTAATATCGTCGAATGAGTTTGTCACAATTATGTTAAAATGACGACTAAACCTAGGAGTCACAGTATTTCCRGATGATGGAGGACCCATCGCACATAGTATAAGAACGTCTTGAAGGTGTATGGCCTCTAATTCTTTACGGTCGTACCATGGAAATTTATCCATACATTGGCGCAACAATTCRACAGGTGGCTGTGCACCATAGTACTCTTTTAGTGGCATACTCAAATCATCGATAAATATTATGCACTTAGTGCCRATTGGAGGACCAAACACACCGCGTCTCCTCTTAACAAGTTTGCTCATTATTATGTCTTGCGTAATATTTGATGATGTCTGTGCGGAAAAATTTATACACGATGAGCTGTTGAATTCTTTGTCGATTTTTGTAAAAATGTAATTCTGTAACAGAAATGTATGGAAATTATTTTTAATAAGATAGTTGCAGGGACATGAGAAATTCAATCATACCATAGTGTAAGCTGATTTTCCTGTTCCAGTTTTGCCTACCATGAGTATGGGTTTATTATTTTCTAATAACAATGACATTAGTGCTTGGTTTCTTATTGTATCTATTGTCGGAACTATAATTTCATTGAATGGAATGTCTTGAGGTATCGGTGGTTCATCTTCTATATAATCTGTCCATAGTTTCCATGTTCCTTTGCCTTTTTTGTTTAGAACATATCTGTAGTCAAAAACTAAACCACTTTTAGGAATTACATTTGTGTATGGTTTATCTGGCGATGGACATAATTCAAGTGGTATGTTCAATGCACGTGCGACTTTTTTAGGAAATTTGTCTTCTAACAATGCTCGAAACAGGAGGTTAAATTTAACTCGGCTATTTGTATCTAATGCAGCTCCCATTGACCATATACAACCAAAAAAACATATGCACTGTAAAAAAATAGAGTTAGATAAAATGATAGAATTATATTAGTTAATAGTTTGAAAATAAAATATAACATTCAATTATAATATACTTCTATTTGTGATCTCATATCAATCTGTGAGATTGTTTTTAAATGTTCTTCGTYATTGTATGGGTTCAAATAGGTATCACAAATATTTGTTAGTGATCTGACCAAGTTCATATCACTAGTAGGAAAAACTTCCTATAGCGAGTAACATAAATTTAAATTACAAACTTGTTTTGTTGTTCTATTATTCCATTATATTATAATATGTTATATATGTACGTTAATATTACAACGTCTTAACATGAATAATATTGACCGAGTGAATCGTATGATATGTTTATGTAATGTCTCTTTATGTTTCGGTGGTAAGTAAGGAGACAATTGGTTTATCCACGAAGTCACTAAACACTCCCAGCCCAATGAAACTGGTTCCATGTAAATCATACCACACCTTGAAACMTTAAACAATATAATATAATATGTTAATATTCATGGTAAAAAATATTAAAAATCGTAATAAATTCAAATCAGTATCACTTGATTACCGTGGCTGGCGATGCAACATCCAAGTCCATAGGTTCGAAGATCAAATTAGTTGTGTTTGCAAGTTGTATAATTTCTCCTGATATTAAACATAATTTTTTGTTATCATCCAATACAGTATTCATACTTTCAATCCAAATGGCATCTACTGGACCATCAAAAATCAACCATTTTCTGTCGAGATTAGTTGAAGAAGCAAATTTGCGGAATCCAACAGCCAAAATTCCGTCCGACCATTCGTGTGATGTTAAATCAAATTGACCATAAAGTTGACCCAATGTTATAGACTTTGGATTTATTACCATTATTTCGACTTTGTGTTCATTCATTAATTTCTTGTATCAAAATAAATATTATTTATTATAAGATATAATTATTAAAAATTATTTCAAGTTAYAAATTGACGAGAATAGTTTGCGTCAAACAATTAGATGTGAATAAAAAAAATATGAAATGTGTTGAGTAATTTTTTTTTTCATTGTTCTTAGTTTATTTATGCATATTGTATATATTTTTTGCTTTTATATTTTACTTCATTTACATRGAATGKCAGTATAATAAAACAGGAAATTTAATTTCTATGTTTGATCAAATAATTTTTGTCACCAAATCTGATGTTTTTATTTTTTTACTCAAGATTTCTTACAAAAACAAAAATTTTAACATCCATTCATTTTYAATTTACTTTTTAGTAGAATAAAATATCGAAATTTAATTTTTAGATAACACTGATGATGTTATATATTTTGCTAAAGTACACATTTTTCATCAGTTTGATCTATAATATTAAGTTGTCAAGTTGTGTGTTATATAGTATTATGATCTTAATTATATTTGGYATTGTATTATAAGAGAATGATTGAGTGATTTATTTTWAGAATCAGCAGATCAACTACTCATGATCTGTGAAACTTTTGATAAAAGTTAGTTTTAGTTTTTATTATTACGGAATCATTATCTACGTATTTAATCGTTAAATAATTGTTCACTTATATTGTCGTAAGCACGGTTTTTTATTCATTAATATTCATTAAAATTCCAATGAAGTAGAATATTTTTTTGAACATGTTGGTCAAAAAAGTATTCAGTTATTGAACAAAATGTCATTGTTTATATGAAAGTGAATTTTATATATTTATATGAGCAGTGGCGTCGAAGTCCTAAAAATCTAGTAGGGCGAAAAATATTTCAAGAGGCCCAACATCTTAACATCGGAAAAAATGGCATACYGTGGAGAGGAAAATGGTCAATATGAAGCGGCCCTATTTTAAATTTTCAAAATATGTCGGGCCATAGCCCGACCTTAACATAGGGCTCGGCGCCACTGTATATGAGTATATTTAGTAGTACATTGAAATTTCAGAAAGCCTTATCTGAAGTTTGAATTCTTGTCATTTGTTATATTTAAATATCTGAAAACTTGAGTAGGTTTATGTCAATCATGCTCAAAAACTGTTGTTTACCAATCCCACTTTTATTTTTTAAACAATTATAATTGATGAATATAATGACTTATGAGTCGTGTGAAAATATTAAAATAATCAAATATATTAATCAAGACTCAAGATGTCGGGTATTTGGAACGCATCTTTGTTCTTGGAATTCTTATACTTTCGTTTGATGCGTCATTATAAATTTATTAATTGGTGAAATTGACTATTATTTATTGATTTTAATAGACAAATATTATGTTCGATTAAAAAAAAAAAAAACTAAAGGTTAAGACGATTAATATGATTTACGCTTACTTTAGTTTCAATAATTTTCAATGCACCACTGAGTACTTTATAGGCTGATGTTTTACCACTAAACGGAAAACCCACAATCATAAATCCATGTCTAACAACCATCATTTCATATATTTGTTGAATTTTTTCAATAAAGAACGAAGTGCATTGTAGATTCATTATTTTACAGTGTTCTTCTATTGCAGCGTTTAGAATTTTATAATCTGGTGTTGGCAATTTAATTCCAGGGAACAAATCTGAAGTTAATCCCTRTAAGCATGAGCGATAACCAATTTTGTTATCATTAACTATATAAATCGTGAGTAAGTAATTGTATCATGCGTAGAAAAGCCATATTACTTTAAACAACGGGATATCGTGTTTAAGAAACTTTGGTAAATTAACRTCATTGATAGAACGCAACATGAGAATATTTTCATCTTCTTCGGGATATTTCAGTTTTAGRTTACCGGCTGCTGTTAGTACAGTTTTAACCGCTCTCATTCCTGTGTAGGAAGAATCTTATGTAATTATTAATTTTAGCTTTATGTATATGTATTTTAACCATAATCATAATGGTTTTGTGACGAAAGCTGTTCGGAACATAGTTTATACGTTGCTACAATTTTTACCGACAACGATCGAGCTAAGCTAAACCCTTGAGAATACAATACTATTTCAGATATTAAAGCATAGTCGGGTACCATCATCGCCACTGAACGGAATAAAGCCTGAAAAAAACACATTTTATTTAAATACATTAAAACAGTTTTTGATAGATCAATAAACCATAATATTCTAAAAATAACAGACATAGATTTGAAAATAATAATTAGCTTTATGAAAAATTCTAATTGTTTTAATTATATTATAATTTTATATTTGTCAATTACTTTTAAATTATCTGGTAACTCTGAACGCCCAGCATAACCAGGATTCATAGTTATAAATATAGCGCAAGTATTGTCTAATGTTAAATTTGAGCCTTCAAAAAATATTTTTGTCAATCCAGCTTGTATACCTCGTTGAATGGTCAATATTTGTTGTGCGACTACTGATAAAACTTCTAAGTCTATGCGATTAAATTCGTCAAAACATGCCCATGCACCACATGACAATAAACCCTATAATTAATAAACACCTGTCAGAACGTTATCAATAGGTCAGTAGTATTAAAATTGAATAACTTTGAAAAATTTTCCAAGACCAATGTAGTCCATACTATCTGAGCAATTAAAAACGACACATTGTTTAGCTATCGCTTTTGCCAAGTCTTTGGTAGTTTCTGTTTTGCCGGTACCAGCTGGTCCTTCAGGTGCACCACCCAAATTTAATTGAAGAGCGCAAAACAGTGTTCGATAACAACGGTCAGTGAGAGGAGTAATAACTAATCTTGCCGAATTACCTAGATATTCGTAACCGTAATTCAATGATGAATTGATCATAGAGGTAAATAAATTCTCTTCCTGAAAATAATATATTTTTGAGATCAACTTGTTGTTGCGTCTACATATATTTTTATTTACCATCCAATAATATCTCAATTGGCTAATCCATCCAAAGTCATTTATTTTACGAATATTTTTGTTTGACAAGTCATCAACAACATCTCTAGCATGGACGTCGATTACGATCAATGCTCCTGTTTTAGTGTGTACGATTTATCAAAAATCAAAAAGGAATTTAAAGATAATTTTTATAAGTTATAGTACAATAAAATCTTATACCCAATGTTAATCGCGTTTGAACTGACAACACACCTCGAACCAATTTCACAATTTTATCGATCTGCCTATTACATTTATTCAAATATACCGAAAGACCATCAGGATGATGTTTAATTGCTTGCGTCATCTCGACAGTCCAATATGTACACGAAACAGCTAAAACTGCTTGGCCGGGCCATTGCATTACCCATTCATGTCTGACGGTATTCTGATAAGCTAACAAAGCCTTTCCGATTACTGCACGTACAGTAATCTTCATCGACAGTTCCAAATCTAATAGCCATCTCTCAACTTGACCTCTAGCTTTTGCTGTATTTATTGTTGTTGATAAATTTACGATCTCTGCTTCACTAGATACCATAGATATAACATCCAGTTTTTCAGTAAAAACAAGTGTAGCTATTCCTTCAAAACATTTTTTTAAATGTGGCTGTACTCTCTTTGGGTCTTTGGTTTCTGATATGATTTCAAGAAGTTCGTCGTTTGATAAAAAAAATAATCTTGGAAAATAAAGTCGTTTGGTTTCAAGATAATTATTTAAACCTTTTTGCACCAAATTTAAAAGCATATAACTTTTTTTTAAATTTTGTAAGATATTTTCTATATTAATAGTTTGTAAAATATTCATTGATTTTTTAATATCTTTCATAGTGTCTCTCCACATCTGAAAAATAAATATGATCATTTCAACTATTGATATTTTAATATACTATTAAAAAATTATTATTGTGTTTTTAAATTTAAAAAAAATCATAAGATAATTATTAAAGGATTGAGTTTTTTTTTTATCAATATTAACAAATTAACAAATAAAACAACAAATTTGTGTATTATAAAGAGCGTACAAAATGCGCACCTTTAAATCTCACAAATAACACCCCTGAAGAAAATATAATATATTGAAGCGAATTTACGAGAACATTATAATATTATATGTAACCACAATTCATTATTTAAGTAAATAATAATAAATCATTCATAATGTTTTTTTTACCTTATCAACAGCATTAAACTTTTGTGATTCATCTGGCATCTGTCTTTGTATATCTGGAGATGAAAAAATAGATTCTAAGTACATCCATGTAATTTGAACTCTGACCAATAACTCTATTATTTCATTCAAAGTAACAATTTTTGCTTCCCATTCTCTAGTATAAAAATTAAGAATCTATTACAGTGTATTGCTCAATCATGTAAATTGAAATGAAATACAATAATTTGTTTTCAAAAGGCTTAACAAAAGGAGAAGATTTCATCGCAGTTGTTTTTAATATGTGATCATCAAGCAATAATTGTACATCATCAATTCCTGATAAAATAAATGTTCCCGAATCTCTAGAACATAAAATAATTAAATTATCTCCGTCTGACAACTATTAAACTTTTAAATTATGTAAATTGTACTTGTAGTCTAATATGGTAAAGTTTAAATCTTTCCATTCCTCTACCATAATATTTAGCCTCTTATCCAAATTATTTTCTTTAGAAGCTCCATCACTGATTATTTCAAATTGAGGTACAAATTTACCGAGATTGAGATTTAAAACTTTTGCCATCGTTAGATTTTGATCGGGGAACATTACAAATCCGACTATATTTGAAATGTCTTCCCAGTGACGTCGTTTAAGACCTAAATTGCCCAATGTTAATATTTCYGGGATTCTTTTTTTAAATGTTTCAATCAGCGACCGTACCTGCAAACATATAAATATATTATCATGTTTAACAATTAACATCGAAATACCTATATGGTTTGACTGTATGTTTCTAATATAAAAATTGGTTTTTGATGTTTGTATTTTTAATTTTTAAATAAATAATTTCAAAAGTAAAATGTAAAATAAATAATATTTATTTGATTCACTGCAACGATATGATTGTTTTTAACACTTAAGCGAGATACTAACGTTTGTTAGTCTGAGTACGATTGTACCTAACGTATTTATGTTTGTTTACATGTAATGATTTATTTCTGATGAGATTTAATCATTTTACCTAACGGTTAAATATTCAATAACTAAAGTAACATAGTTCCTGACTTCTGAGTAAGATTATAATTAACTTTGGCTTTCAAAAGTATTTAAAAAATATATATTTTTGTAGGTACGCTCTTCAGARACATATCTGTTAGAATAAAAATAAAATAAAATAATAATTTGGTCAACTTATTCTGCAAGCTAGGCATTTTTGACTTTTAAATTACTAAATTTGCTTATGTTATAATAAAACATTGCTAACAAAAAGCCCATTAACTGAAATCTCGGATAAGCCTTTAAATAAAATGTTACGATTGCGTCTTATAAACTTTATAAACTGTTTGATCTGTATTTCGTTGTTGTTACTTTTCTTCCTATTCAATAAACAGAATTTACTTGATATTAGTGTTCATAAGATAGCGTAACATTACACGCAGAATGAAACTACGACCACATTTTAAATTCCAAAATAAAAATATAGTTTTATGGTATATTGATTTTTATATTTAATGTTAATTATTCCTGTAAAAATATACTTAAATAACTTAAAAGATTCATAAAATAACACATAACTATTATTTTTTATCTATTAAATAATATTAGTAATTTAGTGTGATTTGCAGTATAGGAGTTATTGATGATGTATTCGTTGATTTTATATTTAATCAGAACATGAGTTTTTTTTTTTGTTAAGCATTATTAGGTTTTTGGTATGAAATTCACAGGATGTTTTTATAATTTTTATTTTATATTGTAAAAATAATATTATAGACTGAGCTCTTGGACCAATGGATCAACGTATAACAAACAATTTGTGTGCGAAACTGTAACTATACCACACGACGTTTGACTGCTACCAAAACTAACGGTGCACCTACAACTTATCCCTATCGTTGTTATTTGAAAAAACTAATCATTATCTATGTTATACCTTATACAATACGATGTTTATAACATTACTTTAATTGCAATAGCCAATGGGGCAGGATTTTTCATGAATGTTCTTTCGAGTTTTGATATGTTACGATAGCAGTTGGTCACATTTTGATCGATCTGCTCTGGGTCGTATGTACCAATGGTAGCATTCATCCAATTTTCATGATTTACAATAAACTCTGAACAGTTATCATAGAGCAGTTTGTACGGCGCTAAAGAATCTGMAACCTTAAATACATACTCGTTGATGTGATTAATTATTCGCAAAAAAATTATTATCTCTGAGCAATGTAGGTATATTTACAAATTTTCGAAGTGGATATACACTTTCCTCCATCTGAAAGTATTTTTCTTGTTTGTTGAATTCATCAATTGTATCCAAAGCTTTATTTAATTTATCATCTAAGTTTTGAGATTTTTCGGCATATATTTTTATATCATTTATGTCCCCCAATTGCCGAAATTCATCCAACTCAGATCTATAGATGTCCAAGTCGATATTGAACTGTTCGATACGCTCCATCAGTACTTCTTTAAATTCTTTTGTTTTCTTTATAACCATTATAGAACTCCTAGAAATTGTATCGTTGACGTGTTTGACCCAACGGAGTGTACTAGTATTTTGTTTCAGCTCTTCTTTCGTAAATTCTATGAAATTCATCAAAAATATTTCACATGATAACACTTCGATTGTTTGTTTCATTAGCTTAGGTAAAATATTGTCTCTTGTATCATYGATAAAGGCGATTAGTTGTATAAGTTCATCGGTATTTTCTGGTGGTGTTAATATTACGTCAACAAAATAAGAATATTGTTCATTTAATCTAAAATAATTAGGTAGTGAAAAACAAATTTAATATCATGACTAGGTTTAGGTTAAATTAGATAGGTACTATATTATAATATTTAAATTTTACTTTTTTCCAATAACTGAGTAGGCAGACTTCATATGATCGATTGTGTTGTTTTTAAGTGTATTTGATTGTTTGTGTAAGTTACTGATAATTTCAGAGAAATCAATTTGAAATGCCCCTATATTTGCCATTGGAAGTATGTCAACCAATATGACAGAAGAAATGTCATGATATTTAATTATAGCATTTTTATATTCTTTGAAAGTATGGTTTTTCGATAAAAATATTTCCACTTCCTTTTTGGCATCCCCGTTTACTAAATAAAGGTATCTTACAACTTTTTCTTTAAAAACTTTTCTCTGTTCCCAACAATTATCCAAGTATTTTCTTAGATTTTTAATATTTTCAGAAACAATTTCACGATCCAATTCCACCTGAGTTATGAAATATTATAGAAAACTATAATTAATTATTGTTTTTATTCAAAAAGTGATTCGAGAATCAAATGAAAATTTATTCAATGATAATTATAGGTAGGTATTAGTAATTGGTATAACAGATATTATACATTTATACAACACTATTGAATAGACAAATCGAACTAGAATCATCCTTTTTATTAGATTGGTTGATGTAAAATTATTTGAATTAAACATACTTGCAAAAATAGATCTGTATGATAATCTTCATACATGGAATGTTCAATACGTATCAAATTTGACGACACTTCTTCTATATTTTCACAGATGGACAGAATAAAATCCCGCAGCCGTCCATAAGATGGTAGATATCGCAACGAATCGTTTCTATACACTAAACTTATCTTAAAAACTGGATTTTTCTTTTCAGCGCAATGGTTATGAAATAAAAATTACGTAGAATTAAACTTACAAAAATAAATTGTAAAACTAGTATAATTGTATAGGTAATGTTCCAGTCACAATGAAACTAACAATTTAATTATATGGTAATTGTTTTATTAGAATTAAATTACATGCAACACTCCAAATATTAATATAAATTAAATTGTTTTGTGAAAAGTAGAATTTATTATCAATAAAAAAAAATCTATTTTCACTATTTTAGACATATAAAATGTAGTATATTAATGTGGATTTAAAAATTAATACATTTGCTGTTAAAATTGGCCTAAAATAATAAAATAAGTGTATTTGATACTTATGCACTTTTGATACTTTCAGTATGATTCTATAATTTATCCTTACCACGCATTATTTTTAATTTATTAGGAATAGTTATCTATCTGTCATTATTTAATTATTTAATTCAGTCAACTTCATAAAAATTGTTATATTTTTAATAAATATACACAAATATAACATTTGAAATGTGAAGGAATACATTTTTTAAATATTTTAAATAAATTAAAATTAGATTTAGAGTTTACCATCAAATATTAATAAATAATAACTTTTTTTACTATTTTTACCATAGATTATTAATTGATAGAATAACATTTTAAATTTATATGACGTGTAAACATATAAATAATCTTATTTAATTATTTCTTCATTTACATACAATTAATTATTTACAATATAAAGACATTTTTATCAATTTCAAAATTCTGTACACAAAATAATCATTTATAGGTACATTTATCAATATTCATGGGCATAATACCTAATTGTAGATAAAATACAAATACATTGTTCTATAATAATAATAATGAAACATTACCTCTGGGTCAGACATAAAGTCCGTATACTCTTTAATAGTCCTTTGTATGAATTCTTTGAAATTCATTTGCATGACGTGAGCAATAAAATTAAAAAAAGTCGACTGTTTTTTTTTGCTTTCTGCAATTGGTAATTTTTTTTTGTATTTTTTCTGAAATTTGAAAAAATAAATTGAATAAATAAAATAGTTAAATTAAAATCCTAACCTGTTGAAATAATTGTTTCACATGGTAAAACCATTCATTTCGCMAAGCGTCGTTGACAACTTTTGATTTTGCTAATATATAATTTGTAAACTCTGTTATATTATAATACATGTGCTCTTTGTTTAAACTACCAGCATTTAGGATAGTCATATTTCTGTAATGAGGAAACTTTCAATTGTATAAGGTTTAATTTTAATAGCATAAATCATTAATACAAATAATACAGTTTTAAAATTGATTATACTACGAAATATAGTAAACATTTCTATAATTGTAGTTATGAACAAATAAACAGTAAGTTTTTTTTAATTGTCATAACATAAAAAAAAAATATACGTTTCTGTGAGAAAATAATGCACTTTTGAATCATTTTAGAACATTGCAAGTATTATT